ATCCTGCAATCAACAGATATTTATATATGATGTATTCTTGCAAACAAACAACCATTGGATTCAACAGAGTTTACTGTAAGGTATAGCTAGTTTTAGAACACTAAATTGAATTTTTAAAAAGTTACTCAGTTGGTAGATTGAGTGAAATGTAGGATTAAAAAAAAATTTTTTTTTTTTGAGTTTCCACTGGAGAAGAAAGCTGAAATAGAAGTTTGATGAAGAAGACAAGAACAATAACAAACGACAGATTTTTTAGTTAGTACAGGTTATTGTATATATACTCTACAAAATATTCTATTGCTATTAACCTCTACTATGTTTTCTTTAAGAAAATACTTAATAAAACTGGCTAGAGCTGCTAATTGTCTTTCTGGAAAAATATCAAGCTTAAAGCTGTGGAAGTTGTATTTAATACTGTGTGCCTTCTGCACTTTTGTTTTTCATGCTACTAGGAATGGGTGTTCAAAATAAATGCCAAACCTGCATATGTGAGATTTTGGCATATACATGATTTTAATAATGCCAGAAACCACATGCCAGTATAGTGATAGTATTTGAGACACAAAATACTATTTATTTGGCTGAATTAGAAAACTGTCTCTCATGGAAAAGATATTCAAAACAGGTATTCTAGCAATTTGCCTTTTCCTCATTAGCACATAATTTGTTTACAGTTCTCAGCCACTTCCTATTTTTGTTACTTTTTTTAAAATTTTGACCATGCGAAACGTTTGCAAAAATGTTTTGAATTTATGATGATGAACAGCTACATATGGCAATTTACCCTGCATCATTTTGCCACAAAATATGTCTTAGCTTGGTTTCTAATACTAAAAAGTACATTTACATTCATTTCTAAATCATAAGAAATTAATTATAAACAGGTGGTACATTCCTTCTGTATTGACGGGAAAGTCCATTTCTAGAAGACAGAGTGATTCATATAAGGATGCACTGGTTAAATTGGTGTAGATAGGATATTAAAAATATCTAGACTTTCTAGATACTTATTCTGCTTACTCATCTTGGTATTTTTCACTTAATCATTTTCTATACATTATTACAGACATCTCAACAGTGAGCACGCGTTGGATGATAGAAGTACAGCCCAATGTAGAGTACAGATGCAAGTTGTACAACAGTTAGAGTTGCAGGTAAAAATAATATTTTATTATTTGCATTGTTATTAATTAATATTTCCTCAGTATAAATTTATATTCGAGGAGTGGTTTTCTCTTTGAGAGAGAAAACCTCTCTAATTTGAAAAAGAGATTTCAGAATTTATTAATTTCTAAATGCTATTGCAAAAATTGTAGCTTGGCTTCCTATTTGCTGTAACTTTAAAAAGAAATTGTGCATTGAATTTTTTGTAATTATCAGTACATGTTGAATATGTCTTACATTTACAGTTTGGTTTGGTGATAAATGTGTGTGCGCGCGGAGCATAGAATGGATGGGAAACAGCTCATGTTAGTTTTTAAATCTTGACCAAGATTAGGTTGTAAATGACTTTATTCACTGACCTAGAACATTATTTTAAATATATACTTTATCATTATATTATTTACATGTAATCAGCTTCTAATGGGTTTATTAAAGGAATAAAATTAGAATCTATAAAAGACGTGCAATTGCTGTATTATTACAACCTTTTAATTCAGGGAATTTAAAAAGACACCCACACCCAGTCTGAATATGCCTAAGTGTTTTTTGTGGCCTGACATTCTTTGTGTGAAAGAAGTAGGCAAGAGAACAGCCAAAGCCGACAAATTAAAACAATGTTGTACGTTAGATAGCTACCATTCCTCAAAAAAAAATGTGGCCTATTTTGTATGCAAGATGACACTGTAGAGATATATGGAAAGCCGTGGGCTAAGTGCAGAAGATAATTACATTTGAAATTTTACTGAGTTAGTCGTTTAGAGCTTCAAGTAGTTTTAGAGAAAAATCATCTTCAACTTTTTGTTGTTACTTTTCCTGATAATTACAATTTATATTTTACATCATAATTTACTTTTAAAAAAATACCCTTTATCGTCTTATCGCAAGATTTTGGTTCCATAACCTATATTTTACTTCCTGTAAAATTGTTGCCATGTCATCTGTATGATATATTTTCTCCATTCCTGCCCCCCAACACTCCATTCCAAATAAAATAATGTTCAAAATACTAGTATTTCAATACAGTCAATGAAGAGCTGCAAAATAACCTTCTAGAAATCTTCAAGAAAAGCTAATTTCATTTAAGCTTAAAGGAAAGCAAATTTCATTCAAAGCTATAAATGCACAAGTACAAGAGCTGTAATTTCTGTTGTTCATTCCTTCCAACAGTTAAAAAGAAATGAAGATAATCTTTGTTCCCTTCTCCTCATTCTAATCCAGGCTTCATTCATTTAAACCCCTCTACCTGGATTGGAGGCCAGGTAGAGGGGTTTAAAAGAAATAAAAAATTAGTCCCTGTCCATTTTTTAAAATTTATGAATTATTCTTTTGTGAGTTATATTTGAGTTTCCAACTATCAATCAATATCTGTCAGTAAAGATGATTTTGTATTATTTTTATTCTGCCCAGTGATAATTTTATCAATCAGCCCTGAGATACAACAATGTAGGGTTTCAAGAAGACATGGGCAGAAAATGCAGTAAACTCCATAAACTGTCTTTCCTGTTAGCAAATTTATTTTTCCAAAAGCTGAAGGGAAAAGAAAGATGACATCCTTCACTACAGGGATATTTAACTTGGATTCAGCCTTTTATATCAGGGCTGATTGCTAAAGAACTTAATAACATTGATAATTTCCATAGATAGGGTGGATCTCCATAGGCTAAGATACATACCAGGGGTGGGTTCCACTTACCTTTACTATCGGTTTGCAGTGGGAGTGCGCACTCGCTTCACTCAAGCACGCATGCTTCTGTGCATGCGCAGATCACCCATGATGACCTCGTGGCGGGTGGGCGGAGCCTCCCACCGGTTTTACTACTGGTTCTATAGAACCGGACCGAACCGGGAGCAACCCACCACTGCTACATACCAGTTTGGCACCATTGCTGGGGTAAAAATCTTTTTCCTAATGTGATGTACATTAACACAATTAAAAACTGTCGAGGTCTATTTTCCAGGTGTAGTCAGGCCAGAGCCAAAAGTAGACTGATTTGCAGCTGTTTCTTAGCAAAGACATTTGCATTAGCTCTCTGCCAAATTTCTGCAAGATGTCTTCCAACATCTACATGGCTGGTAAACAGTGGGATTCAGGGACTTAATATTACTAGCCCAGGACAGATCTGTCAAAAAGACTCTGGTCTAAAAGGTGTCCGTGTATCCAGAATGAAACATCTGGGGATTCATTATCAACACCACCATATAGAACAGTGTGGAGGAACAAGCTAGAACTCTTTTTCATGATAATGACTTGGTTCAAATGTAAATATTCATTGAACCAACCATTACGTGTGAAGCTTTTTGGTGGGGAGGAGAGGGAAGGTTTTTTGTGCTTCCTCATTGGTTAGAACACTTATCTCATTCCGCCTTCTAACTCCGAAAGTTAAATTCTTATAGCACTGCTACTGTCAAAATTGATAGCCAATTGCCAAGCACACAAATTGTGATCATGTAATTGTGGGGATGCTGCAACAAACTTTGAGGACCAATTACAGGTCTCATTTAGTGCCATTGTAATTTCAAACTGTCACTGAACAAATGGTCATTAACCGAGGACTACCTACATGTTGAGTTTATTAGCAGAGCAGATAGTCATATGCCCTTGGGATAAAATGGCTTAAATGTTCGGTGTGGTCATATTTTCCTCTAGGAAGTTAACCTTTGTAATGGTTCTGGCTTTCCTTGTTTGTTTATTTGTTTGTTTGTTTGTTTTTGCACACATGTTGAGAGGATTTGCCGGTGACATCACTGTTGCCCAGGGAATGCCCAGTTGGGGGCTCCTTTCATGTCCCCAGAAAGAGTTGGAACAAAGGATGGGAGCTCACCCCCTCCCCCTCCATGGCGACACTTGAGTGACCTTGCTGCTAGTCAAGCCAGCATCTTAACCACTCAAGCCACCATGCCCCTCAAACGTTTCTGTTATTCTTGTTATTGATATGCTGAATTGCTCAGGATACTTTTGTATCTTCATTCATACTAAGTCCAGCATGTTTTGTATTCCAACTAGATAGCGGAAGAAGTAAAGGAAGATGATGGCACTATAAGAGAATTGATAACTCTTTTTCCAGAACAATGAATCTGCTGTCCAACATTGACTTATAATAATGGGTAATAATTTATAGTTGGGCAGGATATAAAACCTAATCAGTTTTTTTTATCATATAAAGTAATTTGAAAAATCTGGATCCATTTCAACTTGGGTCTTGCTTCTTTTCAGAAGAACTGAGCATAAAATAATATTCACATCTTGCCTCTATCTTTTACCTCAGTTTCACTGAGGAAAAAAAAGTCTTCATTTCAATCAGGCCGGAAGGAATAACTTTCACACTGGAAAAATCTTGCAGGCATGTAATTTTGTCAGCAGATTGCAATATCACATTGAAAAATGTTTGGGTCAACCACTTCAAACAAGTAGATAGATATGAAGAGGAACTGTTACTTTGCAATGTTACCTGTAAATCAGTAGGCTTCCAATTAATAAGTAGCCCTGTTCTCATTTGTGTGGTACTTCAGACAACTGTAGCAAAATCTCATGTACATCTGTGAGTAAATCCATGAATGCATTATAATCACCCCAAGATTATAATGCACGAGTAGAGAAAATGGGCCTGCCAGATACTATTGGACTATGCCAACAATAGAAACTTGCTAATATTGTTGACTGAGTAGTCAACATCTTTGCACAGAGATTCCCATCTTTGCACAGAGGCTTTGGAAAATTTAGAATTCTTTGGAAATCCAAAGATGCTTTTCCAAAAGGCAACTGAACTTTTTTGGTTTTTTTTCCTTGAAAACATTTCACTTCTTATCCAAGAAGCTGAATTGTGGGGAATGAAAGGATTCTTCAGAAACACATGATTTTTTTTTCTCTTTCTCTCCCTAGAGAGAGTGAAATAATACTTTTTAAATGGTGCTGTGTCATCAAGTAATTTTTATGTTTTTGTAAACAGTTTTGTAAACAGGAATATGAACTACCACTTTTAAAACCTGTGAAATTGTAAAAATGTAAAGTATTTTGAAAGACCTCTAAAAAAAAAAGAACCTATTTCAACTTCTTTTTTTAAAAAAAATTATTGAGGCTGCTGCATTGCTCTAATACATTAGGGTTTGAATCATATGAATATGTCTACCTGGATAAACAGAATGAAAAGGCTGGTGTGGAAAAGGATTTTATCAGTGACTGGAGCTATACTTGTATTTTATATTTAACACCCACAGGTCAGTAGGAAAACACCCCCGTGCAAGTTGGCTTATAGGTTACAATTCAGTTTTAATATGTGCATCATCCAGTCTGTAGTAAAAGACAAATCTTTATATCTTTGTCTTTATATAATAACAAAAAACATACTTGCCCAGGATGTATCCTCTTGGCTGTACAAGCAAATGTGAAAAAGAAAGCTTGTTGATTTTTCTCCTCCAAAGTGAAATCTATTCTGTAAGAGAACAAACATTTACCTTCTGTAGATGGTTATTTTCCCCTTCCCTAAAGCTGACAATATCCATTTAATGTTTTACATGTCAACCTCACCTACCTAATAGAGGGTATGAGGCCCAAGGTTGTTTTTTTCTTAAGTACAGAGTGGGATGTTATAGAAAAGGAGGAGAGGACAACCTTTAAAGCCAGCAAACTCTTGGCTTTGGGTCTCTTAGCATTGAGGTTGGTTAGTACATGCAATTCCTTCATTTTCTCCCTCATTGCTTCAGCAACCCCTCCTGGAGCCTGAAGGACTAGATCTGCTTCAGTCAAAAGCTCCAATGCATTTTTCCAAAAAAAAAAAAAAAGCTGATACCCAGCACCAAAAGTTTTGCTTTGCTTTTAAAGAAATGCCAGAGAGGGATGTGGGCTCCTCCCTAACATTTCCAAATCACAGGAAAGTAATACTATGCACTTTTCCTGTCATGTGCTGGCTACAATGCCAGGGTTTAAATAGAGAAGAGCCGTTCTGGATTCTGTTCACAAAAGTCATGTTTACATTTCTCTTTCTGTTCAGCTTGCAAAAGACAAGGACCGCCTGCAAGCAATGATGACACACCTGCATGTGAAATCGACTGAACCAAAAGCTACCCCTCAGCCTGTAAGTATCTGCACGGACTACATAAAGCTTTGCTGATTTTTTTGGTTCTGAGAGGGCACCCCAACTACAGACCATTTCTAAATATTAGTGTATCAGTTATTACTAGAAAGATTACTGTCTTAGTCTGTTATGAACACAACATAATAGGTAACCTTGCTGCATCTTAAAAATAAAGAGATTGATTATAAGGTTAGCTTTTTTTTTTTTTTTTTTTTTCATAACAGCACATTTCTTGATCATTATTCAGAGAAATAAATTCACTACAATATTTGCAAACTAGGTCCCCTCATCATTTGGCTGACACATCTGTCCCACTGCTTGTTTTATGACAGAGGACTTCCCTTAGCCTTTATTGCTCCACTTAGAGTTAAGGATTTAATTCCTAAGAAAGCTGAAAAAAATAATATGTCTTTTCCAGGAAGACATGTGCAAAGTAATTGTTCTGTATCTGTAATATCTATTTTATTTTTTTCTCTTTCAGCTATACCTAATCAGGTTGCTTAAGTCTTCAATTTGAATCCCTTTTTTTCTGTCAGATAGAAAGATAGATGCCTGTTTACCATGCTATTTTACAATCAGCATGACAATAAAATTGATAAACCAATTTGCTATTATAGTTCATCACTACTTGCTGATTAATGTGGTTTATACAAACTGTAGATCATCAGCACTAAATTTTCATATAACAAGTAAAATCAAATTAGGCCACTTACCTACACATAGCTAAGAAACTAAGTAGCAAATCAATCCTTCAGCTTAAAACACTCACATGAAGCAATTAGGAATTTCAGAGTATTATCAGGAGAGGAATAAACTTTAAAAACCTCATATTTAAAAGGTTGTGGGGGGGCATAAGCTTTTAGGATAAGCAAGTCTGATTTTGATATGTAAATTAAATTTTAATTTAAGATAGAGCATTTTATTCAAATCCCTGATCCCTTTCACTGTCTTAGTAAATCTATGTGCAGATTTTTCTGCAGAGCATTTTTGAGTGGCAAAAAACAGTGTTCTTGTTTTTGAAATATAAGATAGAGCTAAGAAAACTTTCATTTTGTGTAATCCTGTCTTCCAAAATCTGGAACTCCCATGAAAGCCTGGGCCATATTAAATAAGCTTATTTTATTTTCTGTCCTTGGATCCATCCTCAGATCTGCCCCTATATTCTCTAAAAAATAATAGCAGTGCTTCTCCAGTCGCATCAAGAAGCAGGTAGAACCTAAAAGAGGGTAAATCATTTCAAAAAGTACTTTGAATAACAAGTAAAGTAAAGCTGCTTGAACTGTATCTTAAGAAATGTTTGAGACAATTACTTTGAGGATATCACTTGTGCTCACACAGAAAATACATTAGCTCAGGGGTGTCAAACTGGCAGCCTGCAGGCCGGATGTGTCACGCGTAGGCCACACCTACTCTAGCTCCGCGAAGGGGGGAAACGTCACATGACGGCAACGTGACACCACGAGTTTGACACCCGTGCATTAGCTGATATTGTCAGCAAATAATAAATGCACGTGTAGACAACCTGGGAAAAGCTCTTAAAGCTACACACTAGGTCTTCAGGAGGTTGTGGTTACTTGCTTGCATAAGAGAGTAGTGCTCCACACATAGCTAGAACTGTTCTACAAATTATTTGCAGAGCTGTGAATTACCTCCGTCACAGTTCTCTAACAATACCATCTGGCCCATATCAAACGTGATCCTTCAAATAGATTCAATAACTGCAAGATGATGTACAGGCAGCCCTTGACTTACAACCACAATTGAGCCCAAAATTTCTATTGCCAAGCAAGACAGTTGTTAAGTGAGTTTTGCCCCATTTTATATCTTTCTTGCCACAGTTATTAAGTGAATCACTGAAGTTGTTAAGTTAGTAATAGTAGTGAATCTGGCTTCCCAATTCACTTTGCTTGTCAGAAGGTCACAAAAAGGGATCACATGGTGCCAGGACACTGCAACCATAATAAATACTTGCCAGTTGTCAAGCGTCTCAATTTTGATCACATGACTATGGAGGATACTGCAATGGTTTGTGAAAAACAATCATAAATCTCTTTTTACATGCTATAACTTCGAACAGTCATGACACAAAAGGTTGTAAGTCAAGGACTACCTGTATTTCAGAAGGTGAATTGTAGATAACTATTATCCCTCCCTCTTTTTCCCCCAGAAAGTCCTACAAAAGGAAGTTAGACCAACCAACCCACATGGCCAAATGTCAGTTGCAGGATGAAAATATCTGAAGGGCCAACATTTCCCCCTTTGAATACAAGAGCAATATGGCCAGAACAGTTTAATCAACTCCTAAGTGCTCATTACTTAAAATTCAGGATTTTTTGCTAATAAATAGTAGCAGTAACAGAGATTCCAGAGTAAAAACTGCTGCACAAAGCAATAAGTGGACAATCAGGGAAAGGAAGTAAAATTGACCAAAGGAAAGGGAGTGGAGGATGCACTGTCTTCATCAGTATTAAAAATGTTTTACATTCTAGAAAATTATAGCTTTGATGGAGCCTCCCACTAAATTTATTTTTAACTGTTCTATTGAAAATTCTGCGCTACTAGTCAACATTATCTCTCAGTAGCTCTGCACAGTGTTTCTCTATTAAAAGAAATAGGCATGAATATTTTTGACTGAAAAATTAATAGCTTTTGAATTCGTACACAGCGGGTTTCTTTTCCAAAGCAGTCCAATATCACTGCACAGCACTTGTATAACCATTTATTTAGAGGCCAAGTCAAACCTTTGACAGCTAGGGCAGTGTTACAAGCCAACATAAAGAACTCCAAGATGTAAACCAACAATAGGCAGTCTGTGTGAGGTTTGCCATTGTCAAATACATAGATTGTTTGGATTAGTTTATGTAAATGTACTGTTGTATTACCCTTTGGAAAAAAAAAATCGCATTTGTATATGAAAAGTGGTTTCGTTCATAGGCAGCATTATAAATCCTTATCCTTTAACGTACACGTTAGAAGTAAAAATTGGTGCCTGACAGGACTATATTGTGTGACATTCTGTTATTGGATTGAAACAGCCTTCTTTTCATTTATTGAATATAGGAAATTTTATTACAGATATCATCAGATAAATCAGAAATTATTAAAATATGTATAGGTGAAGGATTTGAAAATTAATTACAAAATGTAGAAATGTAGTATTCTTCATATATGCTATCCTTGCAAGGATAGGAGAAGAATAAAATCATAGAGCCAAGGTTTGGCCTTTATACATTCAGCAGCATATAATTCTAGCTAGAAGTGAGTCAATGACCAAAACCACAGCATTCAATCCACCTTACACCCCATAATTAAAGTTCTGTTCTCTTCCTAACCAGATGTAATATTAATTGTAATATTTTGTGGCTTTTTTTTTTTAAGAATTGGAATTTAAAATTCTAGTTCTTTTTTTAAAATGCAAAGAGAATAATTGACTTGGTCATTTTTTATCGGGGAAAGTTGGTGACAAAATTTTGAAAGCTACCTTAAAATGATCATAATAATCCCAAAAGCAGGTACAGTTTTGGGGGCCAATGAATTTCTTTGTCAAATATGATTTGGTTACTATAGATATTTCTTGGAGGATCAAACGTAGGGGTGCATGAAGCAGATTGAAACATTTTGAGTTGATTTTTCCACTGGAATTCAATATCTTGAGAGTTCAGTGTTCAGTTAGAACAGGGGTGTCCAAAGTTGGCAACTTTAAGACTTGTGGACTTCAAATCCCAAAGTTCCCTAGTCAGCATGTTCCCTAGTTCACAAGCCTTAAAGTTGCCACGTTTGGAAACCCCTGAGTTAAAACAGCTAAAGTTGGCACATTTTGAATGCTCTGTTGCTGGGAAGTAATTAATGTGAGCTGATTTAGTTTGTTGTTGTGAATAGCCCCAATTATTCCCATGAAGAATGTTATATATGCTGCTGCTATGGTGCTGAATGCTCTCTGTGGTCATGGCTTTGTGGGAAGATGCTCTTTCTGGTTTTTTTCCACTCAGTCTAGTTTACCTAGTATCTAGTATTACACAATATAATTAGAAAACTAGTACTGTGCACTGGTATTTTTTATTGTTATGAATGCTCTCATTAGATTTCCATATGTATGTATATGCGTCAGAAGTGCAAGCATTTCTATTGTAACATAATAATGCAGTAATCCCATTATTTTCAAGCATTCCTAGTGATAAGATGGTAGAGGAGAATTAAGGTGCCAGGTGCTATTAGATGGCACTGACAGCCACAGATTTCTTCTCACAAAAGAAAGAAGGAATGCGTTTCTCTTTCTTTGGTAGGGTTTTTTCCCCTTTTTTGCATACCTGGCAGTACATCCATCTTTATAGAGTTGACATAACTGTTGGCTATTTTTTATATATTTTCCTTTACCCTAACCACAGCAATTAGGATTGTTTTGAAATCCTGTTTTTAGCAACTGTAAAAACAAAGCATTAAAAATAGCCTTTTAACTGTGAGGTAATGACTGAGCATTTTAGCTGCTGTAGCTGTACTTTATAGTTTGAAAAATAATGGTATGTAGCAATAGAGAGAGAGGAAAAAAAGATTTGTAAATGCAATACACAAAAGCTGTTTTTATATACTGTTTTTCATTAAGTCCCACTCTTCAACTTGGGTTTCCTTTAGTATCTCTGCCAATAACAACACCTGCTAAGTGATCATTGCCTGCCAAATCTTGGGTTGCATGTAGTTATATATATTTTCTAAAGATGCGTATATAAAATGTTCATGGGTGAAATCTAACAGTCCTGACATGCGTCCATTTTCAGGGTCTCGTTGAAAGTAGTGCCATCCCATTCGCCATTCCCAAGACCCAATTACAGCAACCGTTTGAGCCCCAAGCAAAATGATGAGCACCCTGTCAGAAAAATCCTTGGCCTTAAGCACCAGAGATAGCCTCAGAGGAACTTGCTGGTTTTTACACAGAAAAACATGCCACACATCCCCTGCTATCTTCCTTACGGTTTTGTTGCTGGTCTTGTATACGTCTTTCAAACATAGACCAATGGAAGCTACTTTAAATTTTTTTTTAAAAAAAGTACATCTATGTGTGTATATATGTGAATGTATTTGTAGCATGTTTCCCATTCCATAGGCATTCAAGAAGCAGTAGGGAGGGGTGAAGCTTCTTCCTTCATCTTATCGTTAATGTAAATAAAATATTTCTTTTATCATGTTTTCTTTTCCAAATTATTTTAGTTTTCCAAATACTTGGGTGGCCAAGGAGGGAATGACTACTTCAGGTTGCATTACTGCAGGCTTAAAGGGACAACCAAATACGAATTTGGAGAAAAGGAAGTATGTCTATTATGGATAGCTTTACTCATGTACTGTAAAACAATAATATTATATATGTATGCATGTGTAGGGGTGCGAGAGAGACCCAGTATAAATATGTACAATGATGAACATTTCATACCTTATTGTTAAAGCCCTTTGATAGTCAAAATTGCAACTCTACAGATGGTATCCTAAACACATACACATACACACAAAAAGAAACTAATTTATATTTCTGATTATGCTTTTGCTGGTATAGAATTTGTTCCTAGCAGAACACAAAGACAACTAATTTTTGGCGGTTGAGAGAAAAATTACTTGTTCATTCCTATGTTGTTTTCTATACTCTTATACAGCCCAAAAATTACAGCTCTTACTGTAATAATTAAAGATACCATAAGAACATAAGGCCACTAGGAGTAGAGTTTGACTCAAACATTCGCTTTTGTTAGCTCTAACAACGTGGGAGTTGATCAAAGTAAACTGCAATAAGGTAAACTCGGTTTGTATGACAAAAATCTTTATCAACCACTTCTCAAATCAAAGCAATGGTGTTTTTAAGTAAAAATTGATGTGGCATATCAATCAAGAAAACAAACTCCATCATTCTTAGCCCTTTGTGACCTTTGCCCCACAAAACTGTCTTTACTTCGCTCTAGGCCTTTTTCATAGTTGATGTTTAAACAATGAATGTTTAATACATTATAATGAAGATCAGTAGTTGACGATTGCAACAGAACCGTGTCCGACGTAGTTGTGCTCCTGTTCATAACTGCTATCTGTAGTTGAGGCAACATGAAAACGCTAAGAGGCTCTCCTTACAGAAAAGCTCGAAAAAGCAAAAACTTTCAAAGCATGTGACAAGTCATGGTTTTCTTAACTTGTTCCTTCTGCCAATCTAGCAGTTACCTCTGATAAAGCACAAAGCTCTCTAGCTGTTTTTTTCTTCTCTCCAACCCCTTCCTTCTCAGACAGCAGTCAGGTTTAATTTGGGAACTCGGCTCTTTTAGCAAATTAGCAATTAGAAAAATGTTGTGGGAATATGTATATGTGTCATTAGTTTTCCTGCAAATTAATAGCAAGAGCAGAGGTCAGGCAGAAATTTTCCACTTGACTGCAGTTCCTCTGTCAAGATTTGGCACTTTGCTTTGGAACGGCCACAGATGCTGAAAGCCACAGCCTTCCGCTAGGAACCGTCTTTTAATGAGTTTACCTCGTAGCCATTATTACAAATATTACGGCCTCTCCCTTACCCTTGAAATTACTGTTTCTACAAAATATTCCAGTGACATCTTACCCCATTGCACATTGATGGTGGGGTCACTGGGATGTAGTGTTTAATCATTAGATCACCTCCATAAGCATCTCCTAATTAGAGTCCTTACAATACAATTTTATCTGGTAATTAGCCAAGATTGGCTGCTTCCTCTTTAGCTTATTAGTGGCAGCCTAGCAGTGGGTGTGAATTGTGGTGTCATTTGTCGAGCCTGTTCAAGGCGGTGCCCCCCTCCCTTTGCTCTTCTTCACTTTTGTGTTTATTTCTAGTTGTATTACCTACCCTGACTGCCTCAAGAAATTTAACTCAATTCAAATTATTTAACTGGAGAACATTGACCTTTGGGCCTTCCACCACTACCCCTCCCCCAGCTTTCTAGTAGAAACAGATTAAATGTTTAAGCTTTTAAGCAGCAAAAACAGAATTGAACTTGTTTGAAATTGAGTGGTTTGAACAATAATGAGGAAACAGTATCCGTGCGCTTTCCAGCAGGAGAGCCAATCTTCTGAGTTTGTGCAGTGCAAGAACACTGGAAATTGATTCAGATTTGCTCATGCTGTTTAAGAGCAGAGATAAAATAGAGGAGATTCAATTTCTCAGGGAGACTTTGCATTGTTGTTCTCCCCCGTGCTTTTTATCATATGTGATGGATGGATGGATGCCAGAAGGGCGTAACAAAATGCAATCATCCAGTTCCCCCAAATAAAAGAACGTAGGGTAGCCTATCTGCTCTTTCTCTTTTTGCATAAGTTAGCATTTGAAGGCAGTTACCTGCTTGGGAGAATGCAGTCATAGGTCACTTCGAAGTCCCTGACAGTCATTTTGTGTCATTCATTGCATTACTGTTTTGAAAGCAAAATCCTCCTTCCATGGGAACCTTTGAAAAGCCTAAGATAAAAACGTTCCAGACCAACGTGCCCTCGGTATACTTCAATACTGTGTTGTCATCTTGCATGTAGAAAAGCGTCTTGTAAATCAAAATAATCTTTTTTTAAAAAATTACAAATTAATTGTACCCCTTTGTCTGCATCTTCTTTATCAAGTTGTGTGAGGATTGGGTTTCTTTCTCAACGCCTCCTGTGCTGTTTACATTCCTGAAATACACAGACATCCAGATGGATGCTGTTTGCTGCAAAATAATAATAATAACAACAACAACAACCAGTATCAACCATCAGTGCCAGTCAGTAATATTTGTGATACATTTTTAAATGTTAGTTGACTGAGTTTCATGTTTAATGAATAAAAGTGTAGTAGTAGTAGTAGTAGTAGTAGTAGTAGTAGTAGTGGTAGGAGGAGGAGGAGGAGTAATAGCCTGAAGAGAAAAAGAGCTGGGGAGAAAGGCCATTGCAGTCTATGTCCTCTACCCCTATTCCTCCCTCCCTGCTGCTTTTGCTAATGAAATGCTATTCTTCGGTGTATGCACAAACGAAGGAACAGTTCGTCAAAAGGAAATATAAATAAGAAAACGAATGAACAGATACACTCCCAAATTCTGCTTTCCAATTCTAAATAACCCAAGTGTTTGGGGTAAGGGCAGATAGCTCGCCTGTCTCCCATTAATGAAAGAGCTTTCCCAGGCGCCTCTTGAATTCTGATAGTAGCTATATTGATCATAGAATAGGATTGTCTGCTGACATCGGCCAAACAGTGAATTCTGAGCTCACATGGACTAACAGTTCTTTTCTACTGTCTATCCACCAGAAGTTGTATTTATTTACTCCCTCCCATCTCTGTCAATCCATCATGATAATTTCTTTTAAATAGCATATCTACACCCAAAATTTGCATTACTTGAATTAAAATATAGATGCATGATTCAGTTAGGCATTTTTTTTCCTGACAGTTGACTTGTCATGACAATTACCTATCGTAGAAGAATCTTTTTTCTCTTCTGTGTGACCATTTGTAGGTTTTATATATTCATTTATTTCATTTAGTTTTTCCTCTAACCTAACCCACTTCAAGTATTCAAATTAAAGTGCAAATAAAAAAGCCTTATTATTTATAAGATACTTAGGTATCTCTAACAGAAGAACATATGTGAGAGGCATTATTGATTGTCTGCCTTAAATCAACAGAAAGAAAATAAGGAATCAGGTGGTCAAAACTTTTTTTCAACAAGTCAATTTTTATGAAAATGTACTAACGCCATGGATGAAACAAAAAGAACATTTACATTTTAAAGGTGTACTTCATAACAATAACAATAATTCCTCAAGATATTAGAAAAAGATATTAGAAAAAAGTTGCTGTCTTTTCATAGGACATTTTGTATATTTTCGTAAGAAAATTACCTTAAAATAATGGAGCTAATTTATCTTAAGGAACCCAAAGAAAGGATCAGTGACACCAATATAAAATCTTAAATCCTCAATGCGAAAGGCAATTATCTGTGATTATCAGTCCATGAGAAGTCTGGGTGTATAGAAATAAAACATATTCTTTTAATTTGTAATACTTTAAAGTACTTTAGGCAATCTTTTGTGTTAACTGCCTGAAAGAAAAATCTGCTATTTTCCTCAGATTTTCAATGTAATCCTATAAATTAATTGCTCAGAAGAAAAATCCACTGATTTCAGTGGGACAATCTTGTAAGTTAAATATATGCCTGCAGTCTTCATTATGTTCTCAAGGGTCAGAACTGTTTGGGCATCAATATATATGCAGGTATCCCCATGTTTTTTCTTGGTTGTGTCTAAAAGAAGCAACATCTACTGCAAAGGACCAAGTAGGGATGTGAAGAGGGTATGTCTTCTCTAGCTTCAACTTTGATCATTCTAAAGAAACAGCCAGTTTGGCTGGTGCTATTTGTTATGCCTGGCTGAGAAACACTTTGTCTCCTTAAATTCTTCCCGAGGCCAGAGAATCAATAATTTCATACTGACCCCAAAATGCCAGTTTTTTTAAAAGAATGAATTTCCAATGAAAGATATTTGTGATTACAGTATAGCCTCAGATTGCCAGAATCATAGATAATATTACTGATCAATTGTGTACTCAGGATAAGATAGATTTTTTTTTAAAAGAAAAAGATTAATCTTTTATAGTGTGGAAAGTAAATATTTGATCAATTTACTTCTAGGGCTTTTCCCCCCCTTAATGAAACCTGCACTCTTTGGGGGGGGGGGGGGAGGGGGGGGGTTAGCTCATCTGAGGTATTCTCCACTTGCTACTTCATAGCCTTACTTTAAAGCTATTTTTGTTGCCCGCTCATTCATACAGCTATATAACTATAAAAACAAGGCTTCATCAGGTTATCTACCCATATAGTGTTCAAAAATTGAAACACCTGCCTAGATAACCTCAATAAACATATAATGTACATCTATGTTAGAATGCTTTTACTGCAGGGCTCAGAGTAGATAGGGAACAAAGTTATGAAGGCATTTATTTATCAATTTATTGCATGCTTCTTACTGGTTTGATTTATATCCTGTAAGTGATTTATATTATATACTGCAAGTGACTTTTCATAGTCAAGGATGGTCTTGTAACTTTCTCCCCAGTTCTACTCTAACACTTTCATGACTACGGTGCACTGTTGTTGTTTCTTCCATTGAGTATGAACACCAAAATATACTCAATCCGTCATTATGTCTTAATAAAAACATGTCAGTGCATGAAAAAGAATGGGGGCAATGTATCCGTTAATCCAGGAAATTGTTTTCTTTTTCTGTTTTAATAGTTGAATCTTGTCTCTAATGTCACGCTTTCCAAGACCGCATCAGAGGCTTCTCCACAGAGTTTACCTCATACTCCCACCACCCCGACAGCACCCATCACTCCTGTTACCCAGGGACCTTCTGTCATCACTACTACCAGCATGCACAACGTTGGACCCATCCGAAGGCGGTACTCTGATAAATACAACGTGCCCATCTCCTCAGGTAACTTGTAGACCAGCTAGAAAAAAATACTTTGGTCCATCCCATTCAAATAAAGCAATGAGCCATGGCTAACCGGAGCCCTCTTTACCTTCATTTAGCAGATCTTGCGCAGAATCAAGAATTCTACAAGAATGCAGAAGTCAGGCCGCCCTTTACATATGCCTCTTTAATTAGGCAGGTAAGCGATACCATCCCTGAAAACCTGCTTAAATCCAGGATTGTACATATATATGTGATGCTATAGGCAAGAAGAGGTGATTAGCTAATACAGGCATGCTGACACTTTTGCTATATGGGGGTTTTTTTCTCTCTCCACAACCGCAATACATATACCATAATTGCTTTTGATTAAGTATTACAATACGATGTGATTATTAGGAAATTCATTTCACACAACACTGAAAATGAGCCTGTTTAAAGATGGCAAGTCAATTATCACAAGCTATAGTAATCTCTGATCCCTAGAATTAATCTGAGCTCAAAATAATTACTAAGCTTTAATCAGCTAGTGAAATGTTTTGCATTTCTCTTTGATTCTGCTCTATGAATGACTAATAAATTAATATTTCCGTAAGGAAACAGAAATAAAACTCAAAACAATTAGATAATTCCATTTTCAGTTCTGCCATTGAGCTATTAAGTACAACCACTAATCTTCCATCGTCATGCAAGTGTTTATTTTTCTCTGACTTCCATTTTGTTTTATTTATTCAGACAAATGTGCAAGTGTATTTTCTGATCACGGTTGCATTTTAATTGCTTGACAGGCAATTCTTGAATCTCCAGAAAAGCAACTAACACTAAATGAAATCTACAACTGGTTCACACGTATGTTTGCCTACTTCAGACGCAATGCAGCAACGTGGAAGGTATGTTGTATTCCCTTGTATGATTCTTGCTTTACAATTTAGTGTTCTAGGATAGAAAATGCCAAAAACATACCTAATTATACTGTAGTCTTCTAAATATAGATCAGTTGTTTTGATATACATAGGGGTGCCTCTTATCTGCCCAAACAGTTTATTATTTGGCAGGAAAGAAATATATGCCTTTGAAATGCCCCAATTTGAATACCTATTATTAGTGGGTTTTTTCCTGCATGTTCTGATTGAACAACTAGTCCATCTCTATAGTTGCTCGTAGTAGTGAAATATTTCAGCTGCTAAGATACAAAAAGAAAGGATGATTAATCAGTTGGTGGGTTTGTGATTTACACTAAAAGATTCTATACATAAAGTCCTTTTGCAAAAATTGGTAGAAAATTAGCTTTACAGCCTGCCAACTGATACACCTGCCTTAAATTAATATGCAAACTTCTAAAAATATTTGCTGGTTTATTATGAAACACAATACAGGTTAATTGGGCACAGCAGTAAAGTCACAAGCCAATAAAAATATTAAAGCTAACTACTTAACAAATACCCCTGGTGCTTTAAATTTCAGTTGTTTGGCTCCCTTTACTTAATTTCTGAGTGTGTTTAAATTCTCATAAAATACTCCTTTCTTTAAAATCTGGCTACAGTCCAGACACACCTGGCACCTGAATATTTTTGCAGTTTCCTTCCAATATATATTTTCTTCCTAAATCTCAAAATGCTGTTTATTCCCCCCACCCCACCCCACCCTTTCAATTTCAAATGTCCTTGGAAAAATTGATAGAATAGTGTTTAAAGAGGTAAGCATCCATTGGTGCATACTTACTAGTTTCTTATGGTTCCAAAGTTTTTACTTCTTTTTTTAAAAAAACTGTTGCCAAAAGTCCAAATTTGGAACTTGGAAAAGGAAGAAGAAAGAAACTTCAGTCACAAATTAAAATAGAAAATTAGGTCCTATTCTGAAATTAAACATTTGCAGGGAGGGAGGAAGGAAGGAAGTTAAGTTTCTGCAATCTAACAATTAGTGTTGGCACTAGATTCACTTGGTGAATATTGTTTTAAGATACTTTTTTTCTATTTTAGAGGAAAACTATCTAAAATAGAAAAAATGTTATATACTTTAACACATTTATACTTTCAACAATGTTATGTAAGAAAGCTTGATTTTATTTGATTTTGAGGAATTCTCAAATGATTATTATTTTCAAAGCTTAGCACTTTATTATAAATATATGAAGATGACTACTACTTTAGATTAGTGAAATAGCTGAATGAAAATAGAATGCTTCAGTATCCCTGATGAGGGCTAAAGATCAAAGGAGAATAATAGTCTTTATGCTGCTTGGTTCCAAAATCTGATCTAATTGGAAATAATTACTACTCAAAGCCAAAACGTAATATAAATCTTTGGCAGAGAGATATTTCTGAACTGAGTTGCCCAAGGCCTAGTTTCTTTAGATTTTGACATAGTATTATAAGGATCCATGAAAACAGTTTTATTCTGGAATATTTTTGCCCTTTAATAGCTGAGGATGGTCTAAAGATTTGGCATGCAATTACTGTGAATGTAAGTCAGGTCTTCTGGATCACAGTTCAGATCATACAAAGTTTGCTTGGACCAAATTGAAATTTAGAGCAAATAAGTATAAACTCTCACTGATTTCACCTTGCAGAACTGACAGGCAAGTTATTAGGCAGTTGAATATAATTTTACTTGAGGGTGAATTGCATTCATGTTGTATTGTTTTCTTTTTTCATACGTAATATAGGTATTTTCTCTTGCCGATTATGACATCTCTACACACACACACACACACACACACACACACACACTTCCACATACACACATACACAGCCTTGCAATTCTGCCTCCCTGGCTATATTCCTTTTATACATTGGGAGCTATTCAAAAAAGCATTCAGAGAAGAAAGAAATCTTCTTTTTCATTATCAACAAAAGCATTGAAAGAAAGGATTGTGAATGTCTGCATGGTTTTGTTCCTACAGACTGTTATGGAATTACAATATAAATGTAATCCCTTACTTTATTATGAATCTGAAAATGCAGTTGATCCAATTCTATGCCCTATTCTTTCCCACCTTCCATGTGCAGCACTCCTTCTGTTCACATGCGCACACAAACACACAAACTACCCTGTTAGCAGGTTTCTCCTGATTGAAGAACAGTGGCCTGGGAGGAATGCTAAATTCCTAAACATATGTTCAGAAGTGAAATAATCAAACTGTCAGAATCCTTACTTATGTGGAAATGGTGGCGTAGGAACCGAGGGACAGATTTTATCTCATTGAAGACTTGAATTTTCATGTGTCATGAGCAGAAGTTGCTAACGAGCTTCATGGTTCCTCACCAGTTTCTACCTACATAATGACAGGATTCTCTGGTGATTTATTAATGTTCTGCCAAAAATAGATGTAACCCTGCATTTGTTCAAGAACATGGATTGTCGGTTTAGCCTCTTTTGAGGAAGCAGATGTGCTGCAAGAGTGAGAAAATTAGTTATGCTGTAGAACTGCAAATATGAAATGATTTGGAATCCCCGCCCCTTGTGGCCCAGACTTCCCTCTACTGTTTTAATTAATATGATAAATGTGTTTTGCCTAACCTTGGTTTCCACAGTGAATGTAGACAGTCATGATTAGAAAGCCTTTCACTACGTAGACATGAATTTGTGAATAAGGGACTTAGCCTTTTAGGTTATTTAACATCTGTCCATGTATTTCCCTGGCATTATGCCTGTAAAGTAGCCACCCCATTGACTATTGGTAGAAGTGAGTTAACAACCTATATATTCTTTGCTTGTTTTTTTTCTAAAGGGTATCAGTTGTGAATGATTGTGTACCTTTAGGTAGAATTTGTTAGAAAGCTGTTTATAATCAGTTTAGACATATCCAAGGCTGTTTAAATTTCCAGGATAAGATTATCCTGAAAACTGATAAATCCAATGCTAGAGATGAAAAGAATAAGACATGTAATATGGTATAAAGTTCGATATTTGTACTATAATGGAGGACTTTACAGATCTCCATATGAATTCAGCCTAAGACTAAATTGTGGACCGGCCAGAGTTACTGGGACCTTGGTGGTATGCAAATTTAATAAATAATTTAAAAAGTTGATTAAGATTTAATTAAACTAACAACTAATGAAGTCATCAGAAACATGACAAGCTTCATAATTCTGATAACAATAGCAATGCTTGAACCACAAATGGCTAATATTATGGGATATTAAAATCATCCCTTCATGGTTCTAACACTAGTAATGAGGAACAGAAATTGGAAGAAGTGGTAAATAACATGACTTTGGTTGGATATATTTCAAAAATGGATTGCCATGCTATTAATATATAGAATTACTTCACATTTCTTAACTTTCCAGGCCATGAAAATTTAATAAGAACAATCAAGTTTTGGTTTTCATGATCTTTCTTTTGCAAATCTTACAAGTTATAACTATATTGTCCGGTGTGGAGGGCGGGATGAGGGAAAGGGGGACTTGCCGGCTGACAATGCTAAGACTCTTTTTCTCATGGAAAGTTTTTTTTTTCCCAATGTTTTCTCTCTTATACTTGCTGCAGAATGCAGTGCGTCATAATCTTAGCCTTCACAAGTGTTTTGTGCGAGTAGAAAACGTTAAAGGGGCAGTATGGACAGTGGATGAAGTAGAGTTCCAAAAACGAAGGCCACAAAAGATCAGTGGGTACGTCCACCATGTTTGAACTTCTTAGCCTAGCTAGTTTTAACATAGAAGCTTTGGCTGCTAGATGGTGTTCTAGATCAACCCAGACGGTTTCTCCTCGGCCCAGTCGAGGTGAAGCAACAAAAGAGCATTTCATCACTACCATTTGTATGCCCAGCAGTCCCCTTTGCCCTTGCTTGCTTGGTGTTTGTTCTGCATCACATGCTAGAAGCTTGTAGGTGGCAATGCATATTAACCCTCACAATCCATTTGCTTAGGCTTATGGCATTTTATTTTCTTTTTGTTTTGTTCTGTTCTGTTTTTTCCTTTTCCCTGTATTTGATGTCTGTTCTGTTTCCCCGATCCCGTGCCCCTTTGTTCCCAAATCATCTCGTTTGCCGCTGGTCTTATCCCAGGGTGCTATTCGCACCAACCTCTCCCTGCATAAGTGCTTTATCAGAGTAGAGGATGAGTTTGGGTCCTTTTGGACTGTTGATGATGAAGAGTTTAAACGTGGCCGTCATATTCAACGAGGCCGTCCTCGAAAATTCTGCCCCGATGAAAACTTTGGCGAGCTTGTTACACAGTAAGAGCTTTTACTTGCTTTGTGTCTATGTGTGTGTGTGCTAATTATTTTTCCCCAGTTTTTGTTTTTCTGTTGCTTTTGCTTTGCATGGTGTATTCATCTCATGTAGACTTGCATTTCACAAAATAGTGGCATTGCCTTTGCTGCAAAAATAATAATAATAATTTAAATGTCATGCTTGTACATGCATTGCATTGCTTCTCAAAAGCCTAAGGTAGCATTTTATAAAGTGTTTGTAAGTCATATTTGCTTCAATGCAGGGACGCTGATAAAATTCTTCGTTAGCTAATGTTGTAATAAACTATATGGTGTTAGGCTGGGTTTTATATATAAATTTTTCAAGTCATTCTTGCTGTCCTATATTCTTTCAATGCTATATATACATTGTGTATGTAATACTATATATCTAACTACAGGTAACTTTCAAATATTTGAAAAAACTGTTCAAAGATTTTACTTTTTTCATATTTTTCTGTTGACTGATTCAGAAGCACAATATAAGTGCCAGTATGGGATAGAGTGGCCCTTTTTTAAAATTTCACATGAAGGTTCTTTCTAATATATTCTGCTGCTCTTCTGTGAGGCCTGGCATTCTTATTACTAAGTCTGAATTAAATTGTCATCAAGTGGAGTCCACTGACTAGCGAGCATTGCTTTTTTAAAACTTGAGTGAAACTTGCTCTGGGAAGAAAAGAGAGGATTTCCAGTAATAGGTTTTGAGGTTTATATTCTTAACTATTTTTTATGCTTTACTTGAAAAAAAACTGGTTTACAGTCATGAACAAAAGACACATTAGAGCCATGAAACTCACTTTTAAAAAGACGTGCATAGGATTATGCATGTGTTAATTGCTTTTAAATCCTTTTGAAATTGATATTAGTTTTGAAATTAAAAGTTAGTTTCCATTTATTTCAATGAGTAGAACTTCCAGCATGTTAGAGCCCAACCCTTTCTCTTTTTACAACAATCAATACCGTGTTTCCCCCCAAATAAGACCCTGTCTTATATTTTTTTGAACCCCGAAATGAGTGCTTGGCCTTATTTTCGGGGAGGTCTTATTTTGGGGCATGTGGAGCAAAACAGGGTTCCTCTTGCCATCTTACCTGATTTTCAGCTCTGTCACCCTAACCAGAGGAAATGGCAGGGACCAGCTGCGCATGCATTTAAATATTTTCGGGGAGGGCTTATTTTCAGGGGGGGTATTTTTAGCACATGCACTCAAAAGCCCGATTGGGCTTATTATCGGGGATGTCATATTTTTGGGGAAACAGGGTATTTAATTCCACATTTAAAATACACAGATAGTTGTTATTATTACGTTAAACATTAGATCACCTTCTCAGTTTCTCAATGATCAGCCCTGTAGTTATAGATTACATTATAAATGAATGAATAATATAAAAGCAGCATTCTCAGATAGCCAATGCTTCTGGATACTTAACTTCTAGAAAAGGAGCAGCAAGTCCCAGTGACTCATATGGACATAGACACTTAAGATGGGTGTTATGGGTTAATTATTTAGATACCATTTCATGGGACAAGAGTCCTAATTTTGTGTCCTGGGACCCATCAGAACATTTACAAGGGTGAGTTGAATTCCCTAACCAGTTTCCTGCATGTCCACCCCACTTGTACTCTGAACAAGTCTCTACTTTTTTTTTTTTTTTTTTTTTTTGCTCTCTTGCTTTTCGATCATTCTCATCTAAGGATGGATAATTTTGTTGGATTTCCTGCATTTTGTACAATAGGATCATTCAATCATTCCTACAACCCATAAAGCCATAAAGTCCTACCTCAGGGCATTGACTGAGCAATCACTGCTCAGGGGCAGCTTCCTTCCTTTTAGAATAAGTCAGCTTGTCTGGATCATAGCTTCCTTAGCATAAGCAACGAGTTGGGGCTGTTTCAGAGGCGAAAGGCTATTTTTCTTACAAACCATAAATGACTTTTGTATTGTCCTTTCATTATAAGATGTGTAGGAAAATAATATGCCAGAAAGAGTCCTGCCAATATTAAAGGGGCTTGTCTTTGCCTGCTTTTCCTGTCTTCCCAATCGCAAGAAATCTAAAGAACAGTTAAACAATACACGCACATTGTCTGGAGCAATACATGCCGCTCTCTCCCCGGCCATAGAACAAACTTTTCTTGGTTCTGTGAAAAGTACCTCTGTGAACACCTGCTGCTCAGAGAGTTGTGAAGATACATAGGGCCTCTACAGCAGGAAATAACTCAAAAGACAACCTAAGGGCACTTAAAACATTTCATTCTAAAAGACCGATTGCCTTTTTACGGGTGAAGTTTACAACATTTTTCTGTTTTTCAGTTAAGTAATTTTAAAAAAAATTGGGGAGGAAATAATAGTAGTTTTATGATATTACTATATTTTGTAATGTAGGAAAGAAACTGATTTCCTGAAGTATAACAGTTGACTGCATTTAATTTGTCTGCTTTTTCTTTTCAAATATATTTTCCTTGCGCAGAAACCCCTCACTTATTAAAAACATGCAGACCAGCCACACCTACTGCTCACCTCTCAATGCTGCTTTACAGGTAAGATTAATGAGCGTGGCAAATACACCACATAGGCATGTGTGCCTTCTGTATTCGTTTCAAAATATATTAGCCTTGCTCTAATTAGATATTAAATTTTAATTCCGTTAAACTTTTTTCTTAAGTGCATAAAGCATCATGGTCCCTGGAGGCAAACACATCCCAGACTGCTTCAGCATTAGCTAGATGCTTAGCATTTTGAATATTGTGGCAAAAAAATTAAAAGTTCACTTATTAATATTTATCAGCAGTATCATAATTTCCATCCTCTTATTTCAGAATTTCACTTGAGGCAAAAATACCACAAGTGTAATTACTCTAGCACAGCTATTAATGTGCTGAATGATAGGATAGGGTGTCACATGACCTTCTATTGTTCGTGGCTTTAAAGGGAAAGTAGATACCTCATCCACACATACATATGCACATATTCCTTTTCTTCTTCAAAGGGTCTTCTAGGTGTATGATTCTAAATTTTTAAATAGCTAAACTAGCTGTTATGCATGTGGAATGAAGGAAAGAGATGTCGGTTTTGTGATGCTGATCTCAATAATATTTTAAGCCAATATTTAAGTAATCTATGTTAGGGGTCAGGATTTATATATTTATAAACAAGTGTTGCAACTTCTTTACAAGCGGGTAAAAAATAATCAAAAGTTATTTTTCCAGGTATCAGTGCTGAGAGAGATACATCTCAGCTAACTTTAGACTTTTATGTGTTTTTATTTTTGTAGTCCTTACTTTATTTGTGTATTTTATCATTTGATTGTTTTATTAATATTATTATTATACCATTTTTAAGTTTTATTCCTTAATTAAGCTTATAACCCACTCAGCAAATTCTTATTATTAAAACATAGTAAAGACATTGGCTCTCTTTGATAAAAGATCTCCACTATTTATGAGACAGACCCAGAAAGACTTAAGTAGCATATCTCTAGAAAATTGCTTAGATAAATTAAAATGCTTAAGCTTTATTTGAACAATATATTTTTTAAAAAATAAGGCTGTGGTGGTGCTTCTTTTGAAACCAGGTCATGAGAATATACCATCTTTGTAAAAATGTAGTAGAATTTTTCCCTTTCTAAACCAGGAAGTAGATTGATTACAAAATAAGTAACCACCTACATCTTCATTTATTACTTTAATTTATGTAGTAACTTCTGAAAAGCAAATGAAAGCATGTGTAAATGAAGCAACTGTAAATACCATTCATTAGGATCTTATTTTCCCTTGAGTCCTGCGGAGTGCAATTTTTAAAGACAAGCTTCATCTGAGGAATAGCATTAAGATTACGAGCACATTTTGCATTCATGAGGCTGAAAGGCAAAAATGAAGAGATCCAGTGTTCCTTCAGCTTGTGTTAGCTATGTGACTAATTTCAATTAACATGCTTATCATACTGAGCAGTTCGTGTTTTTAGTTCTAAAACATGTGTTGTTGTCGTCATCTTTTCTGTCCTCTTATATTATGTGATAATATAACATTAATTTTGGTCCTATTATAGTGTCATCACTGAAAAAAATATATTCCTGCAATGGGAAGTAGTGGAATTTTCATATTAGACTCAGTACACAAAGGGGGATCAAATAAAAAAATTATACCAATAAAAGAGAATGTTTGTAGCTCAGAGTTGAAATGAGGGGACCTTAGTGCTCTCTAGACATCGTCGTTTTCTTGCAGATGTTTCATTACCAAACTAGGTAACATCATCGGTGCTAATCATCGGTGAAATCCAGCAGGTTCTAACAGGTTCTAGAGAACCGGTAGCGGAAATTTTGAGTAGTTCAGAGAACCAGATCTCTGTCTGGCTCCAGAATGGGATGGGAATGGACATTTTGCAATATCCTTCCCCCAGAAGTAGGCAGGGAATGGGAATTTTGCAGTATCCTTCCCCTGCCATGCCCACCAAGCCATGCCCACAGAACCGGTAGAGAAAAATTTTGAATTTCACCCCTGGTGCTAATCATGGGTAATGAAACATCTGCAAGAAAACAACTAAGTTCAGACATCAGCAAACATCTATATTGCACAAAGAGGGATCAAATAAAAATCTATACTGTCCCTACAATTCAGTTCACATTGCATGCTGCTAGCAGTTACGTAGCTTTATTTTGTAGAAATTATAAGGGAAGCAAAATAGAGGCTTCCAATCGTCACTCTCTTTCTGACTGAAATTGAGAAAAGTCAATCACGTATATAAACTGGACACAATTTGACATTGGGTTCAGCCTTGATGGATATAAAGAAGCAGTATGTTAGAATGAGCTTATGACCGAACGTCAAGTTCTCTCTTTAGTTGCCCTTAATTTGTGGCCCCACTCATTTGAAAGAAGCCCTAATTTAGCTTTTAAGCCATCTTGTACTACCGTTGGTGATTTCACTGTCTGTGGCAAAAGACAACAGAAGTTTTGTTTGAAATTATACAGGCAACAACTATTTGGCTGAAATATGATAGGAAATTAGCATTCATCACCAATTGGCAGCCACTTGGGACTCCAATAATATCAATAACGCCAAGTTTCATTTTAGCATCTCTGTTCAAAGCGCTACTGCAAACAGCTAATTAAGCAAGCAGGCTCTCTTGTTTCATTGGTGCACAATTCAATGCACTGTAACTTTACTTGAAAGTCTAACCAACAGTATCATTCAAAGCCAAGGAAAATGCCCTTTGATGATTTCCCTTACTTCTTGCCCCACTTGTGAAATAGTGCATCTCCTGTATTAATTTCGTAACAGCACAATTTCTTTGGGAAGCCCCTCCTTCTGCTTTTCCCCAGATTCTTTTACCAGGAGCAGTTCTAGTAGTGAGTTGAAGGGAGTAGCAGCTATAGTGATACAGGTAGTCCTCAACTTATAACCATTTGATTATTTAAAGTTACAACAGCACTGGAAAAAGTGACTGACTGGTTCTAGAACTTAACAACCATTGCAGCATTCCTGTGGTCATGTGATCAAATTCCAGGCACTTGGCAGCCAACATGTATTTGCTATGGTGGCGGTCCTCCAGGGTCATGTGATCGCCATTTGCAATTTTCGCAGGGAGCTTCCAATAAGCGAAATCAATTGGGGAAATCCAGATTCGCTTAACAGCTGTGTGATTTGCTTAAATACGTAGTGATGCGTTTAATGATTACGGCAAAAAAAAGATTGCAAAAGTGGGGGCAACTTGCTTAAGGACTACATCTCTTAGTGACAGATGTTCCATCCCAATTGTGGTTGTAAGTTGAGGAGGGCCTGTTCAAAAGACCAGAAGATAAAACCATGGGGGATAAATAAGAGATCTGTGAATCTGTTTTTCTATCCTTAACTGCTTGTATGTTCAGCTTAGGTTGCTGTTCTGCTCTACAATATTCAGATCAGTAAATTCTGTGCCTTTCCTAGATGAAACTAACATTTCAGAAAGCTCTGTTCTATATTTTCTATCTAAAGACAGAAAACTCTGTCCAGAACTTTGACTCTGCTAATTAATACACATCTTAAAGAAAAGCAGAAACCATCAAAATAATGTTTGTGAGAAAGTTCTTTTTACAATTGTTTTCTCACCAAATACATGTTGCTTTTTTCACTTTATGATATTTCAGAAGCCATTTGGCTTCTGAGGGGTATCTGGAAGTGAAATCGTTAGAAAAAACCTGGGGGAGGGGGATTTGGTCCTAGAGAAGAAAAATTATCATCAGAATTTCTAGATTAATAACTATGAGCATATCCAAAATGTCATAAGGATTTGCCTATTACTATCTCACTTCATCTCTGCAGAATTTGCCTTATGTCCACCAGTGGTTTTGGAAAAAGAAAAAAAAATAGCAAGTGTTTTTCCTATTTCAGCATTTACTAAATAAATTACTTTGCTGCAATTAGAGCTTTTCTTTTTAGTGCAAAGTGCATGACTCATTATTTTTATATTCCTTAATTTCTCAAAATTATTTTGCTGTATTTCATTGGCCTGGATAGAGACCAAGAAATAAAAGGAAGCCAGTTAGATGTAGTATAAAGACCAAGGAAAAATCAGTAGAACTTCCATAGATGGAGATATCCATGTTTGATAACTTCAAAGATCTCAAGATGCAGGACTAATCTTCAAATGGGATTTTTTTAAAACCTTGTTTTGTGATGTATATCCTGATTGCAATTACCTCTAAACTCATTTTCCCTCTAAACTTTAAGGACTTAAGACTTAACTTAAAGACTTAAAGACTAAAACCTTCAAACTTTCTGTAGGAGCTCTTTCTCAGACTTACTTTGGGAAGAAACATAATTTTACATATTCCTCTCCTTTATTTCTATTATATGATTGTTTTCTGTCTAAGAAGGTTAAGAGAGGTGTGCTGTAGACCATTCCAAATAATAGGGTTTTTTTTTCCCAGAGGAAATATATAATTATTTCATTTTGGGATTGCCAGTAGAGGAAAGTCAAATTAATCTGCAAAAACATGTTAATAAAAAACACAATTAAAATAAAATTACCTTAACTACATATTAAACTATAGCCGCATCCTTGCATAATATTGTACAAAGAAATACATGTATGTCTCCATTCCGTTTTCAAAAGCTGACAGAAGGGAAGCTCATGACAAAACCTTCAAGAGCCAAGATGGCGCAGTGGTTAGAGTGCAGTACTGCAGGCTGCTTCAGCTGACTGCTAGCTGCAGTTCAGCAAATCGAATCTCACCAGTTCAAGGTTGACTCAGCCTTCCATCCTTCCGAGGTGGGTAAAATGAGGACCCAGATTGTTGGGGGCAATATGCTGACTCTGTACACTGCTTAGAGAAGGCTGTAAACACTATGAAGCGGTATATAAGTCTAAGTGCTATTGCTATTCATATCCAATAAACAGGTCTATAAATGGAGACTTTTTCAGTAGGGTCTCTGATGCAACTCTTAACATCGCAACAGGCTCTCATTGAGGAGGACATCCTTCAGACAGCCCTACTACAAGGTGGTTGTTTTAACATTTAAAATCAACACCGTAAATTAAGTGTGGAAAATAATTGGGGCCAAGCTATCGCTGCATTTTGTTGCATTTGAAGCTTCTGAAACTTCTTCAAGATGATCATATTGCAGCCTTGTTTTTTATTTCTCATCCATTTAAATGATATCCTAGAAAGCCTTTGGATATGAAGGATTGTTGTAAGAATTAAGCAATATTCACCTAAATAAACTAGGCTAAACTACATTCCTACAAAATGCTAAAGATTTGTGTTTGGTTTTAGGTTAGCATGATATATAAAGGTAATTGCTGTGGTTTTTACCAGGGCTTAGGGTTTGTGCAAACCTTGCTGATTGTGGATTAATACATTAACATGTTGAAAGGTATATTACCATGCATTGCTTTTAAAGATGGCTTGCCTATTTATCTGTACCGGACAAGAATGATTTTCTGGTTACAATTGTCAGTATCACCAAGAGCATAAGAACACATGTGAGCAAAAAACAGATATTGCTGGAGAGAAGAAATGAATGTCTGCCTTATTTAAGTTTTGTTACTTGATCTTTGAGCAACGAATCAGTAAATGCAAATTCCAGAATAAAGGGAGATGATTTGTATCACAAGAACATTGTTTGCTGATAAATACTCTAGGGTTCCTCAAAGAACTTGCTAGAATACAGCTAAGCCAGTCTTACATTAAATACATAGATTTCTACCTTTCCAGGAGTTTTGCAAATATCAAATATATTTGCTTTACTGCCTATGTGGGTTTTTTTTTTTCCTATTTGCTGGTGGGGGGTGAGGGCTCATTGAAAATTAGTATTTACATTAAGAGGAAAAGTGGTACTTTCCTCTTGAGGCAAAACCCAGCTTGGTGGAGAAAATTAACATCAGGACAGTGTTGCAAGGTATGTGATGATATACCTTCTTGAAAGTTTAAAACCATGCAAGGCTAAGTTAACTATTTATTGTATTATGGGTTTTTTTTCTCCGTCTTAAAATTCCATTTGAATTGTTTCCTGTACAATATGTGATTGGTTTTGGTGATAGAGATGAAATTACTTTTAGATAAAAATTGGAGATGAATGAACTTTTAGCTATGCCAGTGGTGAAATTAATAATACAGAGGTTATGATTTTATCCTTTGCATTTAATGAAAAAGAAAATGAAAGTAATGTAACTTGGATGTGATGGGTGGTATATATACAGATATGTGCTTGTTTCAATGCTCCTGTCTTGTTTCCCCACCCCCCTCTTTTATAGGCTTCAATAGCTGAAAACAGTATATCTCTATACACTACTGCTTCCATGGGAACCCCCACTCTGGGCAGTTTAGCCAATGCAATGCGGGAAGATCTTAATGGTGCAATGGAGCATGCGAACAGCAATGGGAGCGACAGCAGTCCAGGCCGTTCCCCTATGCAAGCAATGTAAGTAGAGTGTGTATCTGTGTGTGGTGTTGCTCCTCCTAACTCTGCCCTCACGCCACCCGCAGCTGAATTAAAATTCTGAACTTTAGAAAAGTTCAAACATTTATTAGATCATGAAGTAAAACAAGTATAATCAAACTTACATGTTTGTGTACCACCCATGAGCATCAACATATTTTAAAAATGTCCAGCAACATGCATCACTTATAAAGTATAATAGTAACAGCAGCCAGAGCAGCTACTTAGAATATATACTGTATTTTTCGGAGTATAAGACACACCTTTTCCCCCCAAAAAAGAGGGGGAAAATCTGGGTGCATCTTATACATCGAATGTAGCCTAGCCCAGCTTCTCAAACGGAGGTTTCAGAGGCTGAAAAAAGCATCAGAAAAGAAGCTTCAGAAAAGAAGCCCCCACACAGAGCTTCAGAAGCTTTTTTTTTTTTCTGTTTTGGAGGCTTTCAGAGGCAGAAAATAAAGTTTTTTCTAAAACAGAGTTTCAGAAGTTTCAGAGGCAGAAAAAAAAGCAAGGCACAAAGCTTACAACCCAAAACTTGTTGCTAAAATTCACCCCTGGAAACAGCTGATTGGGGGTATTCCGGGAGGCCAATCCACCTGCCAATCAGCTTTATTCTTATTTTCCTCCCCAAAAACTAAGGTGCGTTTTATACTCCAGGGCGTCTTATACTCCGAAAAATACGGTAGACCTTCTCTAGATGACTGCACAGATCATCTAGAATCATATTGGCAATCCAGTTTGCCATTTTATCACTTGTTCCCAACACCACAGGATAACAATAAAAAATTACCCAAGTACATTTCTTTTTAAAAGGGAAGGGAAGAGAAAAGGCCTTATAATGTCTGAAATGTCCTTCAGTTCCAGTCATTTAACACGAAGTTCCATTACTGACTGTCAGGCCCAAAACCAAGAATGACATGTGGTGAATTTTCCAAGCTGAAAATTATAGCTTCACACATATAGACAAAATCTTGCCAGATTGAGCACTCTACTGCCTATCTGCAATATACTCTGGGAACTATTAAGGAATCTTCACCCTCTTTTTCTCACGTGATATCTGGACTAGGTTGCATCTTATTCCTCTGGACTGCACCCCCTCCTTCCTAGGAATTGACCTCCTTACTATGTTCCCTCATGAGGGCCTTTAGTAGCTATAATGAGTTTTCTCGGTAAGAGAAAATTTTATTTCGAGTATAGAAAATGTTACAGATGAACCATAAAAATGTCTTGTCGCCATGTTTTGTATTTCTTTTTTCTGTGGCATCACTGAAACTGTCCTCAAATTCAGATGACATTTCAATAAAGGGCCTTTTGGGGGTGGGGGGTTGTCTTTCAATTACATAGCATAGACATACAGACTCTCACAATAGTCAACAGTGTGTTTCTCCTTAAGTGCTTACTCTGTTTCACAAACATTTGGGTGCTGATTACTAAAACCCTCCTGTGCATCAGTTCAAGCTACAAAGAGATCAAGAGGAAATTCCACATACTGCTGGTAATGTACAGGTAGTCCTTAACTTGCAATCATACACTCAACAAGTGTTTGAAGTTATGACAGAATTGAAAAGTGATTTATGATCAGTCTTCACACTTAGGAATGTCATAGGATCTCCATTGTCATGTGTTCAAAATTCAGCCTCTTGGCAACTATGGCTATATTTATGATGGTTGCAATCTTCCCACCGTGCTTCCAGCAAGCAAAGTCATTGGGGAAGCCAGATTAGCCTAATGACCATGACAAAAAAGGTCATAACATTGGGTTCTACTCATCTAATGACTGCCTTGCTTAGCAACAGATGTTCCAGTCCCAACTGTGATTGTAAATCAAGGACTACCTGTATGTTCCTTACTGAACACATACCAGAGGTCATTCAATGTACCAAGTGGTTTCTTTCAGTGGGATCTCAAAATAAAGCTGATTGGGAACCTACCATGTCTCCTTGACCAATTTCTGGGACATAAGTAGGATCTTGAAAGGTATTTTTGTCAGTGATATTGCCAATTTAATTAGTTTGGGTTTTTTCAAAATTGAATTCCATTTAAACAATGACTTCAGCAATAGGGAATAGCCATAAGCTCATAAGACTTTGTGGTGAAACATGTGGCTGAGAAAGTAATACATGGTACTGTTTTTATGGCAAAAGTACACTCGGCTTTAAACTTCTGCTTCCAAAATTCATGCCACAAACATGTGCAGAAAAATTCACTACTAGAAAAATGGGGAAATTGGTTTACATCAGGTTCTTTCAACTAAAAACACCTAGTTCTACAGTTTATAGTAGTAGGGTGAAAATAATTCAAAATTTGAATTGCTTTAAAATTTAAAATGTTCCATTTCAGATTGGAAACCACTCTGTTATCCTCAAAACAGGGCATTTTGATAATTGAAACATTGCAAATTGTTGAAATAAACTGTTTCCAATGTTTTAAATTTGAAATGGCTTAGGACCTGGCTACTTACGGGACCGCCTACTACCACAAATAGCCTCCCACCACCTGGTACACTCTCATAGAGAGGGGCTCCTCCGGGTGCCGTTGGCCAAACAGTGTCGACTGGCGGCCCCCAGGGGAGGGCCTTCTCTGTGGGGGCACCCACTATCTGGAACGAGCTCCCCCCGGAGATACAGAGGATCCCGGATCTGCACACTTTCCGCCGCACTCTTAAGACCTTCCTATTCCAGCAAGCTGTCCTGGCCTAACCTTTTCCCCCCTTTTCTTTTAAACTGAAAATTTTAAATCTGTTTTTAAATTATTGGGATGTTTTAAATTTGTCTCGGGCTAAATTGTTTAATCTGGTTTTATTTTTGCTTTTAAATTTTTGTATTTATGTATTTTATTTTTGTGCCTGTTCACCGCCCTGAGTCCTTCGGGAGTAGGGCGGTATATAAATCTAATAAAAGAAAGAAAGAAAAAAAAGAAGAATAGCAATAGCACTTAGACTTATATACTGCTTCACAGTGCTTTACAACCCTCTCTAAGCGGTTTACAGAGTTAGCATATTGCCCCCTACAATCTGGGTCCTCATTTCACGAACCACCTCGGAAGGATGGAAGGCTGAGTCAACCTTGAGCCGGTGATAATCGAACTGCTGAACTGCCGGCAGTCAGCAGAAGAACACTGAAATTTCTGAAATAATTTAATAATAATTCTAATAATTTTTATTTGCATTTGATTTATTAAACGATCAACATAAATTTATTTCTCTAAAAATAGCAAAGTTCTGCTTCATTAGGTCATAAGCTTCTCCCACAATCACTTTTATTGCCAATAGTTTTTATTGTTAGGAAATAGTTTTGTGTTGTTTGTTTTATTATATGTACTTTCATTGGTCAATGACCGAAATAAACTTTCTGTCTGTCTGTCTCATGCCAGCAAAACAATTTTTGGCAAGACTTTGGAATTACATTTCAGTCAGCTGCCAGCCCTATTTTGTTCCTTTTAATAGGGCTTTGATTAGCTGTAGTGAACAAGCTGTATCTTAAAAGTTCTAAATCAAAAGGTAGAAAAAATTAACCTGAAGCTAGTCTAATTATTAATTGTGAAGATAATTAGCATTTAATTATTTATAACAAGTTTCCTACCTGCAAAAATTTTTGGGCAGGGGGTTGAGGAGAAAAAAAAATATCTAAGATTCTTGTTACTTTGATATTTCAGCATTTTAAATAAGTGTTCGTTTTGCTTTGAGAAAAAAAAAAGCTTTAAAGAAGGCAATCCTCACTTTTGATAATTAATTTGAACATTGTCTTTTACCTTCAAAACATTGGAACAGATTTAGGCTTTATAGAGATTGTTTGTGCAGTATTAATTAGCATTCCCAAAGTAGCCTTACATGACATCATTTTAACACTGCTTGTATGTTTTCTCTTTAGGCATTTTTAGTCGCAAATATTTTTGTTCTTCCCATGCCAATAATACAATACTGGTAGAAATGCTAGATTGTTGGAATTTTTGAAGAGTAAGGCATTTCATTTCCCAGAAATACTCCATATTTTTCTGTCTGCCTTGTGCTTGGGCACTTATTTACTTTTTTTTTTTGAAAAAAGTTTTTTATTTTTATTTCTTATACATATTGTAAATGTACATTCTCTTATCCATAATTGATCATATATATATATATATATAAGAAAAAAGATATATATATCTTTTTTCTAACGAAAGCATAAAAATAAGACATTTTAATTACATTTGGGTTGCTCTTCTACCCTCTCTTTTCACAACAAACCTTCTTCTCCTTCTTTCTTTCCCCTCCCTCCCGCCTCTCCTCTTCTACTTTCTTCCTCCTTTTCTCCTCCCCTACTTCCCCTTCCTCTCCCCCACTCCTCCCCTCTTTTCCCCCTTTCTCACCTTCTCTCCTGCTCTTGTCTGCTTGGGCACTTATTTACAAGGGCACATGGTAACATTTCTTTCAACAGTTAGAAAGTTTGTGTTTCTGGAAACTATAATATTCCAGTGTTCAGTGCAGGCTGTTGTTATTTGCTGTCTCAGATTTCTGTTGAGCACCCTTTACCCTGACATTCTTATCTTCCTTAATGGAATTCTCTTCCCATAAATTAAATTGTTTTCAACTTTTGTGGTACAAGGAAACAGATCGGGCCTTTATCACAAACACTGCCTGTTAACATAACTACTAAATAAGCCAACACTACAGCAGAAATCTTACTGTCACTCAGCCCTGAATTCAATCAGTCAGTCAGTCAGTCCTAGAGTGAATTTTCCCTTTTATATATATAGGAACTATGATCATAAGCCCCCAATCCATGAGGACTCAGCCATAGGTGTCAATGCAAATAAAAAGTGAGGCCAGAGTGGGGACTCAGAAGATCAAAATGTTTTTAACAACACCTGGACAGATTAGGTTTTATCCTGGGGTCTTCCCTGGTCTTACTTGAGCACTGTTAACTGGATCTCTTGTCACTGTCATTGGTGCCCATCTTAGCAGATTGTCTATAATTTGACTAGGGCATCCACAGGGGTCCATGTAGAATTCATGAAAGTATGCCTCCCAGATTCCTGGGGGCATGTGACAGTCAACCATGGCTGCACCATTGATTTGTGCGTTTGATGTGATATGCCAAAATGAGACTGATCATTGGATTTAACTACTTGAATAGATCATGTCCAGATTTTTTTTCCCCCATGGCTTCCTTTTTCTTGTGTATCAGCAATTGTTTGTAGCATCTCTTCTGTTGAAGTGCCAGTGTAATATTGGGTACATACGTTTGGCAACAAGAACTTTTTTTTTTAGCATTAGTACAGTCCTTGTGGAACCATGGGTTGAAGTGTTGTTGCTTCAAGGGTTTGTTGTTACTACAAGTTGGATGCTAATGGAGCTCTTGGGTAAGGATATTAAAGTTCTCCGAGAGTGCATCAGGAGACTTAGTTGATGTCAGGCACCATTTAAAATGTGGAGGTTTAACCTGAAACTTGTTTGAGCTGGCAGAGACCTGCAAAGTTTAATTTATGATCTTTTGAGCAGTGACTGAGGAGGAATCCCTTGTCTTCAAGGTTGTGAGCGTGAAAACATTTTCTAAGAATTCTCCTCAAAAGTTCCCACAGAGAAATTCTAAGTATCTGCCCCCTCCCCTTTTGCACCTTTTTCAAATCTAGAATTATGATGTGCAAAACAGAATCCAAGGAAGATAACTAAAAAAAAAAAAAGGAAGCCACTGAGAAAGCAATATTTTTATAATGTAAGAGTGCCACAGAATTTTCAAAAGTGCTGAAAATTGTTTGCCTAATGAACAATAGTGACCCATCCCTTGGTTTCATATTTTCTAAATGTCATCGCATTTTTCTTTTAGCAGAGAAAAGAGTTCAGTGAAACAACCCAGAAGGATATAGAGAATTAAACATATGTTACATGTCAGCTAATACGACTGCTTTGGTTACTAATTATTTTATAACAGAATATTATTCTTGCATGCTACTAGTAAACATTAGGGATTCATGCTTTTATAAACATAAGGGTTTCATGTCCCATAAAAAGAGACCGCGAGTAACACTCCTCAGCACTCTATAAGTTGTTCTTCCACTGTACAGTTACACTTTCTGTATCAATACCGTCACCCTGGAGTTCAATTCAAGTATAATTCAAGAGATTATACTGAGAGAATTATTTGAAAAAGATTCTGCCTTGCTAGGAGTCAGTGTGCATCTGGAGTCTTTCAAAACAATCACCTATAAATGATAGAAACACTGAAATGCACAAATCAAAACAGTAGTGCTAAGATATGACCCAGTTCACTCTCATTTTACAATTGCAATACAAATACTATCCCAGGGAGAAGCTGATTTTTGACCTCCAGATGTGGCTTTCTTTTGGTCATAAAAAATTGTTTAGGGAAAGACTGTCTCTTCATTTCCACTCAGAATGTGTAACTATTGCAAACCTCTTGGAAATGAAACTTCATACCATATTTTTTTTTCTTTAACTTAATAGAGTTAGTTTTGATTGACAAAAAAACCTAACGGTGCAGGTAATGGCCATTTACCAAAAAAAAGTTTGGTTTTTTTGGGTCACGTTATAATTACCTGTTTCCCTGAAAATAAGACCCAGAAAATAAGCCCTAGCATGATTTTTCAGGATGATTGTAATATAAGCCCTACCCCAAAAATAAAGCCCAGTTAAGATCATCAACCAGACGGAGGTGTTTAGTACTGTATTTCCCCCAAAATATGACCTAACTGGAAAATAATCCATAATGCGTCTTTGGGAGCAAAAATTCTTATAAGACCCGGTCTTATTTTGGGGGAAACACGGTATTTACATGGTATTGCAAATAAAAAAATCAAGCCTCCTTTCATAAAATCTCTTAAGGAGGACACCACTTACTGGCAGGGACATTTTTTACATATCAAAAGCGCCCCCCCCCCAAACAATAAAACAAGGGGAAGGTAATTTGTATTTGTAAAGGGGTTTGTTATGAATATGATTTACGGACAACATTTTTCAAATGTTATCATGCCCATTTTGTATAATCAACCCTTGATCCCTTGTGGGTTATTCATGCGCTATTCTGTAATGAGAAATTTGGCAGATCTCATCTCCTTAGTGCATCCTTAGTGCCCACCGTGAGCTGAGGATCATGTTCTGCCTTGTTTACAGCTGACAGCGTTATTATTCTCATTAGGACTCTGCTTTCATATCATATTGTTGTGTTGAGCGAGCCTTTTCCTCTCCGTTTGTGTTTCCTGGCAGGGCTTTTCTTTCCTTATTGACAGTTTGTAAAAATATGCATTAATTTGGAGTTTAAAGCATGTATCATGGTGTCTCTTTGCTGTGGTTGCTTGAAGTTGATTAATGATAGACCCTCACTTGGGGTCGTCCTCTGGAGACTTCTTTCACAGGTTATGCATGTTAACTAGAAAAGCAGAACACACAGTAACCGATGATTAGCCCAGCCCCCAGAAGCTCAGTAAGCTGATAAACCATGGGTTTCCTTTACACATGCTTATTTCATTTATTTATCTGAAGATTGTATTAATCAAGCTAATGTGTCACTTGAGAACATTTTTTCTGAATCCCAAGAAGAAACCTTGAGCTACAGCACTTGCTGTTTGTTTGTTTGTTTTGTTTTGTTTTTCTTTTGAAGCCTAAGCATTCTTACACATGCAAAGTGTGTCCCTTATTTGCAGCCAGGATAAGTTTCAGAGTGTGAATTATGCATGTCACCAATGAGAGGGGTGGGTGGGAAGAAACTGTATTCCACAACTGAACTGGGGACGCTTCTTGGATGAGAAGCAAAACGCTTTCAAGCAAAAACAAAACAAAGTCCAGTTGCCTTTTGAAAAACACCTTTGGGACAACCATGTCCTCAATGATTGAGAATCTCCTTAGACATGTATTCTATAACAACTACAATGAGGAGGGATTTCAAGCAGTTTTAGAAGGTTTACTCTTTTTATCGTTCTGTTTGAATCAATACCTTTATCGCTTTGTATTTCCAAGTTCTCAAACATATTTAAAAGACAGAATCTTAATTCGCTAAGATCATAGGTGTCTCATCAGGTGGCAGCACCTGGCTGACCATGTCTGACTGATTGACCTAAGCAGAGTCAGGCCTGGTTAGCACTTGGATGAGACACCTTTTCAGAACACCAAGGATGTATTGGGAATTTAAAAGAAAATCTGAAACTAGTACAAGCTCTTCTCTATTGTTGGCAAAAAAAAACCCTTCACTAGGTTATGTTGATGAAATCACTAGAAATAATCCTTGACTTTCCTAATACAGAGGTCAATAGGTTTTTTTAGTATGCAACATTCAATATATTTGAATTGTTTTAACCTGTTTTTTTTAACCTAAACAGTTTTTTAAATAAAAAAAGATGAATTGCTCATCCTTTTTCTGTTTGTGTATATGTTTGTGTGCTTTTTTTTTTTTTTACAGACACCCTGTGCATGTCAAAGAAGAGCCATTAGATCCAGATGAAAATGAAGGCCCACTCTCCTTAGTCACCACAGCCAATCACAGTCCGGAATTTGATCACGACAGAGATTATGAAGATGAACATGTAAATGAAGACATTGAATAAAAAATGTCTGTGACTTTTCATTCTACAAATGAAGATCCTGGGGAGGGACCAAAAAAACAAACAAACAAACCCTTTTATCTTTCAGAATTAGCTGTGAAATCTCTCCCCGCCATTGTACAGTCTGGAAGATACACTTGGTCCATTCTGACAGCTATAAAATATGTTAACACTTAGTGCCATCAAGTATCCCATTTGGGAGTATTTTTGATTTTTCTACTTTTTGTTGAAAAACAAAGCAAAGGAATTTGTACTCTGTGCATTGGATGGACTTGTTTGGTACTCGGAATTCCTACTCACAGTCAACATCAGTGTTGTAAATGTGTTCCACTAATTCCCTTATCCACAACTTGGCAGCAGACTTTGGACTGCAGATCTTCCACTATGGAACACTGAAGACATGAAGCTGAGCATGTACACATCAATTGCAGATCAAGCCTTTACCCAGATTTTAAGGATTTCAGTGGACAATATATTTGCACAGTATCGCATGTTGATTATCACTGCCTTTACTTTTTTTTTTTTTTTGCTTCCATTTGGGATGGGGAAATCTTTTTGAGTGTGCGTGTGTGTGTGTGTGTGTGTATACTAAAGGGTTAAAAGAAAAAAAGCCCTCTTTTTTAGTGTATAGCTTTATTTTTTTTTTCCTCCTAGTTCTCCTATACCTTTTTAAGTTCTGACCTCAGGCCTCAATTGGCCAGGGCCTTTTGAGGCTTAATGTTTTCTGTACTTTTGTGATGAATGTTAATAGGTGTGTTTATTATACAAAGCTGAATGTTCTTTGAATTGTTTGTAGTTCTTTTTCTGCCATCCATTCCAAATTTCCTTCAGATGCCATTATGTTTTCTTTAGCTATGGAAAACATTCCATTTTGGACTAAATGCCCCCCTCCCACACACACACACACACACACACACGACTCTAGAAAAAGTTCTAAAATGCTGCTGTGACCTGTGCAAAGTTATCTTACGACAGAAAGAAAGGCAGTAATTCAAGAGTGAACAAACCAGCATCAAAGCCGTAGAATGTGGTTCTAAAGTCATTCCACAGAGCATCTATGTTTGTGTGTGCATGTGTGTTTATGTACACATGCACATAAAACCATTGTTTGTGGGTTCCCCCTCAAACCCACCCACCCCCATTGGTTTTTCCTTATTTGCAGCAATTGTGAATATTTAGGGAGACATTGATAGCCCCTTCAGAAAGTGCACATCCTACAGATGTTGTCAAAAAGAAGTATAAATGTGTAAGGCTTTTGTGCGTTTAGCTTTTTAAAATAAGTTCCTGGGCCAATCAAATCTTTCTGAAGTATGTTAGCACATGTACTATTAGATTCTTATTTGCCCACATGCCTCATTGGATATTACTCGTGATGGTTCTTCCAAGTTAAGTTGTTTGAGATTTAATTGGTGGCATCCATCAGTTTTAAGTTGTTGCGTTCAATTCGTTGGGAAGGCAATAAGGCCCATTAGTTGTTAAGTGTTAGTAGTTTTGCCATTGCAGATAAGATCATTACACAATATCACACCAACCAGTATAAAAAACAGTCTGATGAAATCTGTGGGTAAACCAGCTCTGATGCCGACAACAGTCTTCTTCAGAGCAAGAGTGGGCAGACAGCTGCAGTTCCAATGTTGGTACCCCTTGATCACCAAACTTCTAGTGACTTCATTCTCTAACCACTTTTCAGTAATTCACTCATTTATGTCGGACTATAGCTTTTAATTTCAGAAGTCTTTCTGATCTTAATTTATATTCTACTTTGTACCCTTCTCCCCTAAAGTTACCAAAGATATTACACAAAGTAAATTATGTTCTCTGTTCTATGCTTTATCTTATGAAAGCCAAATATCCTCTTATTGTTGATCAAAGGAGGTTAAAGAATTACGAAGCAAATGACAAAATAATGGGCTACAGCTAACCTGAGAAGGAAAACTGCTCCTTTATTAAATATAATTTAGAAGACCAAGTAGATGGCTGAACCAAAGTTTTTGCTGTTGTCGTTTTTGTTTTGTTTTCTTTTGTTTTCTTTACAGTGACCAAAAGTATTTCTGTAAAGAGAGAACTTTTTAGGCTGAAATTAGAGAATGAGACCTTGAGAAGGGCACCATTTGACATTGAGGATATAGGAGGAGAATTTATTTTGCCGGGAAAAAAAAACTAGAATGACTTGAATCGGAGAGAGTTTACATGAAATACAAAAGAGCACTCATGACTGAAACTGAACCATACCATAATTACTGAAGAAATTGTTGGTATGCTTTTGTTTGGGTTTTGACCTATTCACTTTTGCTAAAAGCCAATGGCCGGGGCAATTTGTTTTTAACTTTGCTTACCTGGGCCAAGATTTGAGAATGACTGTGATGATGGTTGTGTTGGTCTCTGCCCATCCCTTTTTGTTTTAGTGTTTCATTTTTTTAAAATATATATATATATATATGGTAGCATCCCTGTTCCTTTCCAAACTTTGGTACCATTTAGGCCAATTTTGGGGGGGGGGGGATTTGCCATTAATTTCAAAATAGCAATTTGTTTTTAGCTTTTTTTTTTCTCTCCTTTTTTTGCCAACAGAGAAATATGTAAAGCTTTTTTTTCCCCCGGACTTCTTTTTTTTTTTTTTTTAAGGAGGGCAGTCTGTAAGTCATTTGAAATGTTCTGAAACACATCATATTCAGGCAGCTCTATAACATGCAGGCCATAACCAGGAGGGACGTAACAAAAAAGACCTGTCCCTTTGGTTCAAAACTGAGTGGTTTTTGCTGGTTAGCTTGGTATTCAGAAAGGGGATAAAAATCTGGTAGATTAGTTCATTCTCAGCATGTGTAGCTAGACATGAGTAAAGATAACAGCATGAGAAACTGTTAGTACGCATACCTCAGTTCAAACTGTTAGGGAATGAGTAAAAAAAAAAAAACTGCATTTCACTCAATTGCACTTAGTTGTATGTCTTGCATGCATAGACTAAAGACTGTAGCAAAATTGAAAAAGAAAAAGAAAAGAAATTTTAAAAAAAACCTACCATACCTTGCAAGGTATCACTGCCCTGCAGAAGAACCAAGAGGAGATCTCAGGCTTTACATCAAGCAAACTACACTATTTTTTACAAATTTCAGATTCTGCGTCCCTTTGGATCATAACAATGGTTCCTCTGGGCTCGGGTTTATTATGTTGTACATATATAGCCCAATGTGTCTCTTGTGATCCCGTTTTTGTCTTTTGGCGGGTGGGGGGGTGGGTTGTCAAGGGAAAACAGGAAAAGGGGGGAAGACTTTTTTTTTTAAAAAAAAACATTCCTCCAAAGGAATTAATGCAGATGTTTGTCAAAACACCTTTTGCTTTTTGTGCAACTGCTTTATATTAACCATACTTTGACAAATGCTTTGGAAAAAGAAAAACCTACTGTATGTAACGGAATTGCGGAATATGCTGCACATGTATTTCATTTAGTTACCTTTGCTTTAAGACTGTGGGATGCCATTTGCTGACACGTGGGAGAAAAATCCCAATTTCTTTCTTTTTATTTGGTAATTTCTCCCCACCCCCACCCCCCTTGTTGGCTTCTGAACTGTAACATAGTAGGCAGGTTTTTATTCCCCCTCCCTCCGTCACAGATCAAATCATGTTTGTATAAGTTTGTTTCAGAGATTTTGTTTTTTTATTATTATTATTTGTTTTGTTGTTCTCACGCTATTTGTTCTTTAAATCCTTTCTCCACCTCTTGTTATCCCCATCTCTGCCTATTCGGGTAACCTTAAGGGAAAAGAAAAGAAGAAAAGAGAGTTTCAAAAGTTTGTTTCTTTCCTGCTGCAGTAAATACTTTGCATGATGATTTTTCCAAGGTCACACTTTCAAAGCTTATCAGTGAAGTAGTGATTGATAATGGAAAAGTGTCAAAAAATATTGAACTTTTGTATAAAATGAAATACTTTACAAGGTGCCAAGATGTAAAGACAGTTTGTTACATGGGTTCTGTTTTTGTTTTCCTTTTCTCTCAGAAAAGCAAACGCGATTAACCGAAGTACCACATATATCAGGTGAAACTGCTGTTAGGAATGAGTCAAAGCCTACCTTATCATCCCACAGCCCTATCTGGACTGGTTGGGCCTTCTTTCTTTGCCCTCCTGACCCTGGCCAGGCTGCCTTTATTAGGTGTGGGTCTCCTGCTGCAGCCCAGGAGGCAGAAAGGTTTTCCTGACCAAATAGACAGCAGAATTGCAGTCTCCTGCTCTATTTGTCGATCCCCAGATCGCAGGGAAAACCCGATCCCAGTCTCTAGGGTTAGTCCTGGTGGCTCCTCCTAAATAACTTTTTCACCTACAAGCAGGCATCTCACGTTCTACAAAGACCATCCTTTCCTTGAATTAGAACAGCACAGTTCAAATGCTTCATACTTAACCGGATTTCTGTTTTCTACCAAAAGTAGAAGAAAGGAGGAGGAAGAGAATCGAGGCTCATGCTTAAGGATTTGGGGGAGGGAAGGGGGTTGTTGAAAGGGGATGGAAATCTTCTTTAGGAGATTCCAACCATCATATCCATGATCAGGGGTAGGGGGGGGGGAAATGAATAAATCGTATTATTCTTCAAATAATACAGATCATTAGATATTTTTTATATACAAATATATATATATCTCAAAGTTTTTAAACAAATAATTTTGAAGTATTGTAGTTTCCAGAATGCTGACAAGCTACATTCCTTATAACAGGGAGAATGTGTTTTAAACTCTTGGAGAGCTTTTGGTACATTTTTTGGTTAACAGGCTCGGATAAAGAGTTTTTAGATGTTCCAGAAACAATTCCTCATTCTTAAGTCTTCAAAATTGCATTTGCTGATCTAGTCTACATTTTTTTTCCCCACAAATCCAACGTAGGTAACAAGACTATCTCCTTCCTATATAAGCCTTGATGAAAATGGTACAGTCAGACTGTTAGCATGGTGCTTCATGTGTATGTGCTGCCAGTAATGAGATTCTCCTTTTATTTTATTTTTAGGCATACAAAAAACTCATTCCTTACATCAACTGTAATTCCATCATTCCATGTCTGTTGATGCAGACAATAAAATGTTATGTAGTCAGTACTTATTACTGACATTATAGCATTCTCTAATGCAATAAAAGTGCTGGTTGTTCACACTGGTGATACATGTTGCCATGAGCTACGTGGTTTTTACTTCCCCCTTATATGCAGATACAGTAAGTCCACAAAGCCAGGCTCTACCTGTAGATTTTTATCAGCAGACATCCTACAGATGTTCAGTGGTCACTTCCACACCAGTGACATAAGTTGCCTTTCAGGATCATCAACCTGTCACTCAGTGGTGGATTCCTCCCGGTTCCGCCCAGTTCCGCCGAGCTGGTAGCGGTGACAATATGACATCACCAAACCGGTTCTGCCCCCCCCCCACATTATTCTTACCTTTTATTTGGCCCCACCCCCAATCTATTGCTGCCTCCTGAGTCCCAGCTGATCGGCTAGAAGGAAAAAAACTTTAAACTCTTGCCGCGGGGCTTCAAAGGGCTGCCCTACAGCTGATCAGTGTTAAAAGGCAGTGTGGTGATAGACCAGTGCCTCCAAAAACAAATGAGTAGACCAGTGCCTCCAAAAACAAATGAGTAGACCAGTGCCTGCAAAAATAAATGAGTAGACGGGTACAGCTCTGCAAGCAGTTAAAAGCATGGTAGACCAGTACCTCTGCTAAAATCTAAAGAATTGTCACATGACCATCAAGCCATGCCCCTAAAATAAGCCACACCCACAGAACCAGTAGTAAAAAATTTTAGAACCCACCCCTGCTGTCACTGTTCAAAACGGTAGCCAGAACAGACTTATTATCACTTTAAGAACAACTAAGTCATTCTTCTGTTAAGTAACTACAAGGTAAATTGGTGATAACCTTACAGAATTCATGGTGCTTACTAAATAGAAAGAAATGCAATAGATTGGTGTTTCTTAAAGTATGGTCCTAGTACCCTGGGGGTTCATCCAGAGATCCTCTTGGGAGTCAAGATCAAAATTATTTTTTCTATCGAAAAATCAGACAATTAAAATCCCATCAAAACCTTGTGAGAAGTGATAGCGGCAGCAAACGGGCCAATTATAATAAGTTAAAATTAACCTATATACATAATCCATACAAACAAAGGCTCTTTTGAGGTCCTCCACAATTTTTAGAAGTGAAAAAGGGAGAGCGAAAAAAAAACATTTTAAGAAACGCAATAAATAACGATGCCAGAGTACAGCATTATCAATTGCTATTTCTTCTGCAAGATATAGATTCCTTTCATCTATTGAGACAATTAACGAAGTCATTTGGACAATAATTTACGGTTTTACTTTGTGGTAAATCTCAACTCACTAGTGCGTTATCATTTACTATAACAACCAAAAAATTATTTCTGGTCATTTGATTGATTGGTTAAGGGCCATCAAGTCAGTTTCAGTTCTTCTCAGCCACATGGATAGTTATCTTGTTTTTATGAGCAGTGGACATATCTGGAAGTTAGTGTGGTGTGGATATTACAAAATATGCTGTTAGGGAGCAGAGCTAGTCAGAAAGAATCCATTAATCAAAAGGTAAACCATTGAGATTGTTTCATACCAGCCTCTCTAGTCTTCAAAGATGCATGGTAACATTTCAATTTCTCTAAAGGATGAAGCAATCCACCTGTGAACCATCCATACAATAGACAAGAATTGAGCTTAAGGGGCTGTTGAACTTTGAGACTTGCACTGTGTGTTGCAGATGCTTCCTTATCTTGCTCATTTTTAATTAAAAGATTCTAAGTACAGCATTTAGTGTGCATAGAAACCCTGCTGCTTAGAGATGTTTTCCTTAGCAAAAGAATTCTAATGGTAGAAGCACCATTTCCCATTGTAATAATGCACCACTAGTCAAGAGTTTGCTTTGCAAATACATAAGGGATTTAAACTGCGAAAAGTAAGTATCCAGAATAACACCACCACCATG